ATGCAATCACACCAACACTATGTTTAGTATATTCCTTTGTGCATGGTAAAGAATCAGGATCAGAGGGTACCAGAGAGGTTCAAGCAATAAAGGTAATCATTCTGAGTGTATACTGAGCTCTTTAGATATTGCCATTTTGAGTCTGGGCATGAGTGCCAAGGGCTTGGGTGGGGATGACTCACGCTGGGTATCCTCATTTTGCCAGATGTCTATGAACCTGTGGTGGTGCCAGAAAGCACTAAAGCCCTCCTAAAATGCTAAGTCTAAATGCGCTGTGTGGGGCTCACAGTGTGTTCAAGAAGCAGATTACTCTTCTCACATAGTGATGATTCTAATAGTGACTGCACAGCCCTCATCCCTCCCGTGCTGGTCCAAGGGTAATGGCAGTGAACCAAGTCAATTAACCACTGGTGATCTGACAAAATAGAGGGCATGAATAGAACACTATCAGTTCTTTCAGACTAATTGAAAGGATTTGTCTTTTTACATTTATTATATTCCACTATAACTCAATAAAAGTTCTGATAACTGTCCTTTTAGGTAATTAACAAGTCTTGGAGTTGATGTTACTAGTGCATAGCTTTCAACCAGCAACAAATATTCTCATACCCATTTCCTTATGTTCAAGCTACTTCTTGTCCATTAAAATATGCACAGAAAAATAGATGTGAAGTCTTTAAAAAAGATCAGGTACACCTCTCAATTTAATCTTAAATAACTTTATTTACTGGGATTTCCTAATGATTTAGTACCATTTGATTGTTTTCTCCAAAAATCTGAAATCCAGAGGACAAATTGTAATGTACTGTAGTTTAAAAGTAAAATGTTAACATATGTCTGTTATTTTGGATACAAAACAGTAGCTCTTCCAGGAAGAACCAAATGCATCAAAGAATATGACCTTGATGTGTTCTTACTTGTTGTCTTTATTAAGAATTTGTGTTTTTCTAAACAGCTGTAGAATTCAAGTGGTCTCATTTGTTTCTAGAGGTCAGGGGTATGTTACACATTTGGTGCTTTATGGAAGAACAACTTCCGACAGCCTCCAATATGACAGATGTTTGTTTCTAAAAAGTTCAAAATTACCCTGCTGTATACAGTACATATTTTAGAAAACATATACATAATTTTAAGAAGTTAAGAAGTACAGAAACTGCATCACCACACATAGAATGCAAAGGAACAGGTAAATGCTTATTCTTTGCATGATGAATACATACAGTACATCTAAAGGTTTCGTTCAGCTCAAACAGACTGAAAATGGAAAAAGAATCTGAATTTCAATCACAGTGAATACAGACTATTTACAAAATGATTGTTACAAAATGGTTATTTTTCATTTATAAATGGAAAAACCATTAAATAAATTTAAGATTGTAATAAAGATAACATGATAGATGTGTTCATACTGTATATGTTATTATCTTTAGCTACAAGATCAATGACTTCAAAAAGACACCTATGTTTAGTTAAAAACCTGTACAGAAATGTCAGTCTTCCAGAAACGCACATTACATAATGCTATTTTCCTTTATCATGGCATGTTATTTTTCATTTTTGTAGAATGTTCTGATGCTTGAATGCAGCTCTGGTTTTATAATGTAACAATAAGTGGGAAAATTGCTAGATAATTACTACATATAGTACTGCATAGTACTTTTGTTAGACTAATGGATGTGACACTACTTAAGTAACAGAAGCCTGTAATACCAGTCAATTTGGTGAAACATGAATACCACCACTGAATTTGCAGTTACTCTTAGTTCCAGATTTAGCTTCTCCTAATTGAGCAGTCACTGTCAATCATGCTGAAATCTTCATGCAAGACCATAGCTGATATGTATATGTATATGTATAAGGCCACAGCAAGAAATCACCAAAAGCAAATCTGAGGTAAAAGTCTGTCTTGTTTAATCTTACTGAAAAACCCTATTGCTCAGAAAAAAAATAAAATACAGTCAAAATGCTTTACTAATAAATGTTATATTAGTCTGCAGAACTGGTATCTCACAGATACTATAAAAGTTATGCACATTTTAACTCAACCAGAAGACGTCCTTATTAATTTCTAGATTTATTAGGCCTATCTTAATAATATTGAATTAAATTTTAAACCTTCAAAAATAAAATGACTATACTATAAGAAGGCTGATTGTAGTTAATATGTTGAAGAGCTGTTCTTCCCATCAGAGGTCAAATATTCAAATACTCAAAATTTTAGTGGAAGGATAATCAGATTCCTCAGTATTTTAAATTACCACCACTAACCTGTCATGCCCATGTGAGCACAGCTCTTGAGCTAATCAATACAAGTTTCTAGTTTCTATATTAATCATTATCTGATAAGAAAATAAAACACTATAAAATACTGCATTATATTCTATTAAGTATAGGTATTAAAGCACCATTTATAAAAGGTAAACAAGAACAGGATGGCAAAATAAAGGCAGTAAGAAAATCAGAATAGAGAGCAAGGTGATACAATATCCCAAGCTGAAACAGTCTGACTTACAACTTTCAAAAGGTACTGTACTCAGGAGAGGGCAGACTTTAATGAATCACAACAAAATAAAGGACAGGTGTGCATTCAAACTAGCCCTTTAGTAACTTTTATTTTGTGCAGGACATACCAATATTCCTGCCCATGATTACACTGATCTTTCTGTGTTTGTTCAAAGAGATTCAAAGATGCACCAGAAGACAAAACTATCTTTGTACCTTCTGCCAGCTACAGTGTGTACGATTGACTGACTAATTTCTTTCTAAATCCATCCAATCATTTGCTGATTTGTACATTCCACCTTTTCTCTGGAGTTCGTCACTGAGATTTCCATGTCTTTGACCACTTTTTCATCTCCCATTGCTCATTTTCACATTTTCTTTGTCTTCCTTATTCACCCCTTCACCTTGCAGAGCTGAATTTTTTTTTATTATTTTTCAGGGAGGAATTAACCTCTTCTTGTTGCTTTACTCCATTAATATGTTTCAAGTGCAAGAACTAGAAAAGTACTTTTGAAGAAGAGGATCTGAAGAAGACTTTGCAGGTCGAACATGTCTTTTTTTACTGTGAAATAATAAAAGTTATTTTCAAATCTGTTTTGAATGTGTGGTTATGTTTGTATTGTTAAAATAACCCTAAAGCTTCCTTTACACTTTCACCCTGGAGGAACCATTGGAACGATTGGATTATGGTGACAGATTATTTAAGATTCATGGAGCCTACTTAAGTCATCTAGAAATCAAAGACTAATTCATTACATGTAATACTTGATCCCAAAGCTGAAAGAATCACAAATACAAGACTTGACTGAAATTAGATATTAAACAGGGTCTGAAAAGGATGTTTAGTGAAGATGTTTCACCCAAGATGTAACATCTTTTGGTACGTCTGGAAAATCAAGAACTATTCCCCCACTGACACCAACCATTATACATTTAGAGTGGGAAACCAATTCTAATGAAATCAGCAGGTGCCACTTTTAAACAGAATTTGTAATGGGGAAACTGTCTCTGTGCATCAAAACTCTTTGCTGATGCCTTTTGCATATACAGTACTAACATAAAGATGAGAAACAATACAGTAAATGCAAAACTGAGAAAAAAATCCAAAAGCAATGGAAAACAATGCACACTACGAGCAGTAGTGTATATCTTGTTATTTTTCCTTTGCCTCCCACGTTGTTAAGAGATGTTCTTGTGGACACAGAGCTTGGGTTTCCTCTTCTCTACTATATATTATTCTGTTCAGTGTGTTCGGGAAATGGACGTCTTCTTCACCTTAACCTTATGCTGTAGCAGGGTCAGTACTGTAGCACTGTAACTCAAGAATGTATTGCAATGTACAATTTAACCGATCATCCTATTGTGCCTCTGAATAGTGCAAAGAAACCAGCAAACCCAGCAATTAAACCACAACACACAAAGAAACTGCAAACACAACAATCAGCGGCACCCCTGCCCAGAAACAACTCATGTCACTCAATCAGGAAACAAATCTACTGTACACTTGTCCTTCTCTGTAGCTTTGAGAGGGGCATCAGTTGTGGATGTTCAGCAATCAAAAGAATATTTGTTATTTGTGTTGCTTAAAACAAACTAAATATTAAAAGTGCAATAAATAATAAACTCCAATAAGTTGCATTGCAGAATTATGAGAACACTACGTTAGACAGCTGTGCTTCCTTATTTAAAACACATCAGTTCTTGTAAAGTTTTTGATTGGAGCATAGCTGTCTACAGACAGATGTTTTCTCTGGCCTGCAGCTCTTCTATACCGATATGCTAATTACTGTACATGACCGGTATCTGTTTACCCATTTACCAAGATAGGTCGGTGTACTTTGTTATATAGGCATTAAAGTCTTACATATGTCTGTGTACTAAGGGAACGCAAAATTAAAGGCTTTGTAAAAACGTTTCAGAACAAGGAAATGTAAGAATTTTTCGGCAATTCGTGTTGCAAATAGATTACCATTTTTGTTTGCTAATACAAAATGTCATCTACCTTTATTCACTGCACAACCTATAAAATCTGTTGCGTTATTTTATCTACAGCAAGTCTGCTCAGTGCAAGTGTTATTATAATACCTCTGATCATTATAAATTTAGAAGGCGGTTATTTCATTCGACCTACACAAAGACCCGCATTAATTAACTTTAGAAATCTGACAATAAGATCTTCCAGCTCCATAAACATTTCGAGTGTTTCTATTGTTTTTTTAAACGTCTTAAAAATCAAGGTCCTTTCTGATCCATTATAAAAACGTCTTGAAATAAGACCGAGATACAAGTATCACGCCTCACTCAAAAGAAGCTTTTCTGTCAGCAACGTTCGTCCCTCACAATGATGTTATTACATACCTGTATGCGAATTAAATAACAGCTGGTCGTATTCATCACCTTAAAGGTAATATTTATATATACGGTCAATTAAAATCTGCTCTATCCACTACTTTACAATGTATGTAAAGTAAGTCGCACAAAAAAAGTTTAGCACTTACAGGATAGTAGTCTGTGGTGATACTTTGGGGATGTGGTCCAGCATCAAGTGCATGCAACGCACTGTGGTTCTGACACAAAGACACCGACTAGGACAGGTCGAGGACAGGGGGAAAGAGAACGCGAGAGACAGAAAAATACACGAAAACCGAAGTCGTTTTCGTTCCATCTTCTTCGTTGTGTTATGCGCCCTGGCAGCGTCCTGGAGCTCCACTGAACATAAGTGTAACTTTTCTGAAAGCTTGAGCCAAGAAAATAAGTACCACCCAATACAGACAGGAGGATCACATTACATAACAGTCTCCCGAAACCCCAGCGACGCGCAATGCCCCTGATAGGTCTCCGCTATTACTTTAAGGTGGTGCATGGAACTGTTAAAATTGTATAGGACAAAGTGGAGATTAGCAATGGGAGACTCACACTAGAACTAGGCTCAGACTGGCAGGTGATTTCTTTCTGAAATAAAATTAAAATACACACAGGCTAGTATTGCACTATTCTATTTAAAAGAAACTCCAGCCAGATTTTTTTTTTAGTTTTACATTTTTACACGGATTGGCATGATTGTAATATTGAAACAGAATTACACCTGTAGCTATGTAAAAATAAAGCAAAATCCACTTTAAGACAACATCACAGACACAGCAAAGGCTTCCTACACTGTAGTAGCGTAGGAGAACAAAAGCTCAGAAAGTCTGGTAAGATACAGTGAATAAGACAAATAGGGGAACAAGAATTTGTAAGTTGATGTCCACTTACAGCACCATACTTAGAAAAAGTATACGTAGTTTCCTGATTTCAAAAGACTACAGTGATACTTATAGTATTATGCAGAAATTATGTTTTGGATTTCTCTTCGTTAGTGTTAGTAATATCACCGAAGAAGGCAAATGGAAATGATTGTTTTAATTAATTTACTATATACCCACAGCAAGTGACAATTATAAACAACAACAAAAACAGAATATAAAAATATAAAAAAGTATCCACAGTCTGGAATGACAAGGGTGATATTTACAAGCATCAGAGAAACATTGAGGAACATAATAAGACTGTGTTTTTATTTATTTAATGTTTTTCGACACATTAACAGGAGCAAAAGCATCACATTATAATTCTAAATCATGCTCACATCTGAAGAAGGCTCCACGGCCGAAACGTTGTGTTCTCTTTCTTCTCTTTTTTTCAGCATGGAATAAACCTATTACTTGTTCCACTGAATAACAGTGATATTATATACTGTATGAGAAAGATATTGTAACTATCCACTCCCTTCTTCGTTGGACTTTCCCCACGACTTCTCTCTCTCTCCTTTTACCCCACGCTTACCCTTTCCTGCCGTTTTCCCGATATAAAACCGGAAAGCGACCTCCGCTCTTCCTCAATCCCCACCAGAGAGCCAGAGAATGCTACAGTAGCTCTCTATCTTCCTAGCGTTACCTGGTCTGTGACTAGCATGAATGAATGAAAAGGGCATGTACTGTAGAACTGTCAGTGACCCTGAAAGTCGTCTCGTCTCCAACCTACAGTATGGTCGCCGAAGTCGAAAGGGGAGCGTTTGTTTAATACTTACAATTTTAGGGTAGTCATATTCAGTTTGCGCATACAAATATGTACTAAAATGAGCAGTATGGCAACCCAAAATGTAGGCGTGTGGCTTAAGAATTGAGTTATGGTCAGAAAAAGGGAGTAGTGATTGATAAGAGGGGAAACCTCACACTGAGTGAAATAATTACTGTACTGGAGCATGAGAGGGATCGCTCTTCACTCTGACATTAATATCAATAATCTAGACACTATTTCTGCTGATACAATTGTTTCATTTCTAAGTGATATAATAGCAGGATGATAGCATAATCTGTAATGACATATTTGGCACAATTCAGGACTGGTAAATAAAATGTAATACAGTCAAGTGCTATGTGCAGGTTGCAGAAAATGCATTGTACAGTAAATATCAAATTGCTTATAAAGAATTTGAAAAACTACCTAGGAAAATGATGCAAATATTTAAACATTTTTGCTCTTCATTGTCTTCTTCTAGAAAATTAGTGAAAGATAATGAAAAGGTGTACAACATATTTTGATATATTGTGAAAATATAGAATATGTTTTTTTTCAATATACAGTATTTAAAAGAAAATATTGATATCCTGGAAAGAGCTGACCTGGTATTAAAGGTCTGTCACAAACACATATTCAATATTGACCAGAAAAGCAGTATCACCCTGCAACTCACAAATGGCAACCCACTTAGCTTTAGTCAGCCTGGTCAGTACTAAGGTTGCTGCTGGAAGAGGTGTTAGTGGGTCCAGTAGGGGGAACTCACCCTGCAGTCTGTATGGGTCCTAATGCCCCAGTATAGTGATGGGGACACTAGGTGCCATCCTTCAGATGAGATGTAAAACTGAGGTCCTGACTCTCTGTGGTCAATTAAAATCCCAGAGAGTTTCTTGAAAAGAGTAGGGGAATTGTGGCATCCTAGCCAAATTTCCCATTGGCTGTTACTAATCATGCCCTTCTTATAATCCCATCTATGAAGTGCCTTCATCACTCTGTTCTCCTCCCCACTGATAGCTGATGTGTGGTGAGTGTTCTGGCGCCATATGGCTGCCGTCGCATCATCCAGGTGGGGCTGCACACTGGTGGTGTTGGAGAGGAGTCCCCATTACCTGTAAAGCACTTTGAGTGGACTGTCCAGAAAAGCGCAACATTAGTGTAAGGAAATATTATAATTAAATGTTAAAAAACCTACAAATATGAACATTAGAACATAAGAAAGGTAAAAAACCAGAGTTACTTTCTTGTTTTTTTTTTGGCCCGATTGGAAATGAAGTCATAACCATGCAGCAAACTTAAACAGGTAGAACATTTATTCAAAATAGATTGTACTGATACACAACATTACACTTCAGGATTACAAGAAAAACAGAACAACACCCAGAACAGATACATTTTACAGGGGGAAAAAAGGTAATATCTTACAAAATCTAATGATCAGAATAAATGAATGGAGACTTTTTTCCGTATTCCAAACTGTGGCACCACTAAATAATGAGATATGTCTCTATCCTGTGGATTCCATAAGTTAGCATATCCCCAATTATTAGACAAGTCCCTTTCTTAAGCTCTAGAGCCTTAGGGTCAATTGCAACGAAACTGAAAGTAGCATACTAACAGGAGTTCAACCCGTGCTTAGTACGCAGCTGCGGTCTAAACTTATGCTCCACCTTAAGACCAATTGCAGAGAACTTTGCCACTTTGCTTAGTCTGTACCACCGTACTAAACCTTTTCTCAATTGCAACAAACACAAAGTAACAGCTGCTTCCCTCTAGAGGTGACTAAAGTAGCTGACTAACTTAAACCTCAAACCTCTTCAAATGATTTAAGGAACTTAGTACCGTACTTGGAATAACGCTGGATCGTATTAGAAGGCACCCAAATATAGTGGAAATAATATCATCACTATGATATCCTAGGGAGGGAAGAGAACAGCACTTAAGCAAATAGTTATAAATGGAGCGTGAGCCTTTAATGTGTTCTATAAAATCTGGGAGTCAACTGAATAGATTTGTTCAATATTGTATTGTGATGGGTCTCCATATTTGTGGTTGTCAGAGGAAAGCAGGGATAATGAGGAAATGGGTGGTGCAGAGAATAATATCTGTAGGCAAATGCAAGCATACGTTAAATAAAAAAACTCGGCATCTTAAAAGTGATTATTTATGATAGATCTTCGGAACACTGTCTCTTCTCTGTGGCTATGGTCCAGTAATGACTGTGTTGAAACAGCCAGAGTGTGCTGGATGCCTTGGAGATGGAAGAGGCGGCTCTTCCCAGTCAATCGCAAGGTTGTGTAGGGCTGCACATGCTACCATGATGGTGCTGGCTCTTGATGGACTGGTACGCAAACCAAATGACAGACAAGCAAAGCGTCGTTTTAAAATTCCCAAAGCTCGTTCAATGTGGTTTCTTGCATTTTTATGACTCCTGTTACTGCGCAGCTCTTGTAATGCTGTAGGATTGTGCACAGGTGTTAGAAAATACTGTCATAAAGGATAACCACGGTCACTCACGAGAAGTCCACAATACAATCCTTCCTCAAAATCTGATTTCAGACGACTGCTGTCAAAAATCCGAGCATCACGTGAACTGCCAGCCCATCCTTCTATGAGGTTGAGAAAGCTCAGGTTATGGTCACATACCATCTGACAATCGAAGTATACCCACGTCTGTTGATGTAAATGGGATCTTTCCTTTGCCTGTGAAAGCGAATGGGAATACAGTATGTGCACCAACAACTCCTGGGATTCCAGTTTTAGTGAAAAGAGAAGTGCAGATACCCCGTTGGCATAGCAATGTAGGGATGCAATGGCTGCAGTGACTCTGTGAACTGTGCAGCAAACGGTGCTCTGGTGTACTTTTTTAATATCCCCACCACAACAAAAAAAAGATCCAGTGGAAAAACAAAGGCAGAGTTAATAAAACTTGGTGTGTGGGGTCCAAAGGATGCTCTTCCCTGAGATCGCAGTTGAAGCTTCAGTGTGTTAATTCGTCTTCTGACACCGTTCTTTGAAATCCTGTACCGCATTTTAAACTCCCGTTCGCTAAATGCAATGAATGGATACAAATTGCGATATCATCTGGATATAATTTGGGCAGACTGTGCTCTTCGAGCACATAAAACTCTATCGTAGTAGCCCAGCATCTTTGCAGATTTTGAGTGACTCTGTCAATGTGGTGTAATAACTTTATAAAAGAAAGCAACGAGAACACTTGTTGTGGAACATTGTAATTTGTTCCAATTGCCCACTCATTACCTTTGGCTGCTGGCTGAGCAGACTGTGGAGGGCAAATGGTCAGGACTGTTACCAAGACCAGAGTAATAAAGCTAGTTATTTATTATATCTGTCATTTAGAAGCACTTTAATAATAGTTTTAAAATATTGCATTGATCAGAAATTATTTGCTGCACAAGCAGCTTGCAAAACTCATTCATGATGACCAACTATTTTTTTATAATTCATACTTCAAATATCTTATAGTGATAAAGCTTTGCAAACAATATTAAGTGTAAGATCACAGCTGACTAGAACATATCGTTAGTATATAGCCTATAAATCAATTTCGCTTGTAAGAAAGAAGTGCAACCATGGCTCTTCGTGTTCAGAACTACACATTGGCTCAGAAACTTTATTTCATTGAGCTTATCAAGAATGTTGTGGAGACAGTGGAGGATGCTTAAAAGGACAACAAGAAACAGACAAAATAATAATTGTATATTAAAGTGGCCTACGTATTAACCTACTAATCAGATGAATTGAAATGTTCTGATGCACAGTCCCCTGAAGTTCATGCTAATTAATACAACGACAACGATGAGCCCTGGAAACCGGATTGAGCACAAACTCAGCTGAACTCAGCCAACTCAGAGCTGGAGATGATCTCCAGAAAGTACCGTAGTAACTAATCCGCAACGTACAGTAGTACACAGCTGTGTATTAACTCTGGAAGTTTGTTGCAATTGACCTTTAGTGTTCAATTTACTGGCACAGGTTTTGAGCGTTTATGTTCTCTTCCTCTTGCCACTGAAATTCTCCTCCACCCCTTTGATGTACAGTACTGTTTTATTTATCCTACCCTGGGGCCCATTTCTTAAGTGCCAGGCTTAAGAAGGCTTGGGTAATGATTACTACGAATGACCTGGTCGATATTGATGTTGAATATTGATGTTGTAAGAGGACTGACAATGATTAGACTTAGAATTGCTCTTGTCTTTGTTTGCTTGAATTAAAGATTTGTACAAAGTTTTACCACCTTGATTTTGGCCATTGTGACTGCCTTACACGAGGTAGTCAGATAAAAGGATTGTTTACACAAATTCAGAAACAATGGACATTCACAGAATTTAAAGAATAAGCTACTTGTACAGTATGGGTAAAATTTAATATTAGAATATGTCCAAAATACAGCAGTAGACCTCTTGATCCATCTAACCTCAAGTGTAAGCAATTATTATTAAGTGCTTTGAGTGGAGTGTCCAGAAAAGCGCTATATAAGTGTAAGCAATTAATATTATTATTATGGTTGCCAGTTTATTTGATCTAAGGATCTTATCCTTGGATAAATACTGATTAGTTATTTCCATACTCTTACAAATATTTATGAAAAAGATTGCCTCCTGCTCTCAGTTTTAAATGCACTTCTACTGTATATAGCTTCCACTTGGGTCCTTTAGTCTGTGTTTCACTGCTCCTAAAAAAAAATGACATTGGATGAACTTTGTCAATACCTTTGAGAAATTTGTATACTTGCATAATCAGGTTTCCTCAGAGACCTCTGTTCAATACATTATTTTAAACACGTCAGAATGTACCTTGTTTTCCAGGGCAGCCATATTGTTTTTGTAATCTGGCAATCCTCCTGTTTTGGTTTTAGCTGTGATCTTGACTAGTTTACAAACTATACAGGAATCTAGATAACTCATATAATTTAGGAAGTTTATGGGTCCAAATACAGTACCAATCATTCACTTTAGGAGTGCATGTTTCAGTGATCTGTCATTGTTGGCTTGAGGAACCTCTCCAGGCTCCTAGGGTGTACCAGTAGGCCCCCTTTCAGAGAAGCCCACTCTTCAGTCCTCTATTCCACAGAGAACTGGAAAAGACTGAATCTTGAAAAACTCCTGAATTCTCTTCTCTTCCTCACCAAAATAAGCTTTCATTCCCTGGAAACCCTGGCACACTCAACCAGGCTCTCCCATCCATGCCCAGTCTTCCCTTTACCTGGAAGAATCCTGTCTCATCCCTACTCTAAGACCTCAGACACTCTCAGTCAGGGTCACCCTTCCATGGTCAGTCTTCCACACACTCAGAGATACACTTTCCCTGCTTCTTCCAAGGCACATCTTACCCCCTGGCACCCAGTTTCCAAATATAAACACTACTAATCCACTGCACTAAAAAGACTACAGAGAAATCAAACTAAATCCAGGAATACATTACACACTACAATAAACTACTAAACTCTCTGTGGAACCATCTTTCTTTTCTAAAACCAATCCGTACAACAAAAATCCTTGCAAGTCTTCATTTTCTCTCTCTAACTCTTCAAACCTAATACTGGTAAGGACTGCCATCTGGCTGCTGATGTTAAAGGACAGGAATGTTTATTCAAGTCCTGTACCATATAAAAGCTCTAAAATTCAGGAATCCAGTACCACACTCTCCCTCCCTGAACTGCAGGAGCTTAGACACAGCTCTCATCCTCTGCACCTGACTGCTGTTGTAATAACTGCTGCTACACCTGAAGCATGTCTCAATTACACACAGGGCCACTCAGATGAATTCCATTCAATCAGCCAATCAAGGCAGGTGTATCCAATTTACTGCAGAGAAGGAAGAGGCTTCAACAAAGTCCCAGCTTGCTCCATCACAAGATCCTTCTCGTATTCCACTAATTATTATCACCACAATCAAAACAGCCACTTTACCTTTACCCTCTGATTTCTATCCCTTAACCAGTTCCTAATCTACACCTTGTACTGAAGGCCTAGTGCCTACATATTGAGAATTGAAGTCATTGAGGCTGTCAGACCTCGGATTATTTCAACATCCAAGAATGAAATAAGGACCCAGAGACACATGAAACCTAGTTGCAGGTGCTATTTGAATTGAAAATAAGATGCTTTTCTTTTTACAGCGGGTAATGGAATTTTGGACAAACTTGTTTGACGCAGACTCTCTCAGATATTTCATGAATTGAGTGATCTTGGATATCTGATAAGCTACTAGCCCCTGAATGAGTGCGGTTTTGTAAGAGTAAAAATAATAGTAATAGGAAAAAGATAATAATGAGTTTGGTTCTATCCTATAAATAACTTACAACTGTATCTTTTAGCGAAGCAAATGATAGATAATTAAAAAGTGGTAAAATCCATATCAGAGCCACACAATCAGGACAGTTTATCACGGAGGTAGAGTTTAGGTGATCAGAGCATGTGACTCCTCCCTGAATGAGGGCAGTAAAAGAAAAACATTTCTGCAATAAAGTACCTTTCTCAAGGGTACAACAGCAGGTAGTACAATGGGGTTTTGAGCACAGAACCTGTCACTTATGAGCCCAAAGACATACCCACTATGCCATGCTGCCCCTAGTGTCTAATTAAGCAAACCATTAATTCCAATAAATCGAAGTGAAGTGAACAGCAGCAGTCATTAGAATCATGATCACAGGAGTTTCCGAATCCCGTCTGGGAGACTTGCAGGTTTGCATTTCAGCACAATTCTTAATCCAACTAATCATTGATTTAATTTGAGTAGTTAAGTAGATTTTATATCCCTACAGTAGCTTCTGTTCATACAGACCTTAAAAAAGCTGTAGGAATGTGGCCTATCAAGGACGACAGGGGGTTGGGAACCTCTTTCTTGTTATTTCTTTGCACTTAATGAACAGAAATTTGAGTTTAACTCTACTTCCCCCTTGTGGTAATGTGTGGTATGAAAAGGAGCAGATCTAATGACCGTTTCTCTAACACTATGCTCTAAAGGAGAAGCATAACTAAAAAAGAAACACATTATATTCACACATTATCAAATTATAGTTGTCTTACATTGACTTGTCTCTGATTTGTAGTGGAGTAGGTTTGGAAAAGATTGTTTCAAGTTGTTTGTTCATTAGTTTTGCACGTTTTCGCAATTGTAAATAATATTTCCTCCAAGCAAATATACATCTCCCTAAACCACAATATATAGTAAACATTTCACAGGCAATTGCTTGGCTCCTCTTTCTAATCTTTATCCTCGTTGGTATACTAAGGAATAACAAAGGACAACTACTGCCTCGTTAGAATCTTTCAGTTGTTATCCTTAGAACTAGGATAACCAGTTTTGAAGAATTAATGAGTACGATGTGCACTCTGCTGTTGCCATTTCACCTAGGAATGTTGAAAAACTTGTAAGTTGACAAAATATCCAGCCTTACTAAGTGGTTTCCAACCTCATTTTACAGAGAAATAAGTTTTGTGGAAGAATCCTTATTCTAAATGACCAAGAAAAAACTCTCATAAAACACTTTTAATAATTTTATTATTAATGTGCATTATAATATATAAAATTCCTGCTATATCTTCTTCTTGCAATAACTTTTGGTTTCAACCTTGAACAAATCATTTGCAAAGATCGCTGCTTGTATGAACAGTATGAGTATCTTTAAAAAAAGTACATTATTTTGAGGGATTTTATTTTTGGAATTAAATGGCACTAACAGGTGATAGCATGTAGTACTATCGGTTGTGAATTTAGTAAATATAATCAAAAGGACATTTTAAAAGACCATAAACTAAAGATATATCACATTTAAAGCCCACCTAAGAACTAAATTATTATTGTTGCCTAAAGTGAATACACTAATAAAGTACCACCGTTACTGAAACAGTAGATGCTATGATAAAATGACACAGGGACACATGAATGTCTATAACTTTTATTTAAAAATGTTCCCCATTTATCATCTGCTGAAGGATTAAGCTGATCAATGTTCTTTAAACCAAGGAATCCACATAAGAATTAATTTATAATTTGTAACAATGTTAAGGAATCCATATTCTTCACACAAATGAACACCATACTGTAATATTTCAATGATCAAAAAAGTTACACATGTACCTATGAAAGTACATCTATTGCTTCTTGTACCTTTCATATCAATGGCCCAAAGATCAAGAGTGCTGAAACCATTGTTTAAAAGCTTTCTGTACAAAAAAGACATTAATTTTAACTGTCAAAAGTATTAAACTCTTTAAATAGTGTGTACATGTTAAA